AGCCCCGGGACCGTGCCGTGGGCACAGGCTGTGGCTCGGCGGCAGGTTGGAGTCCACCCCAACGCAAAGGCACCCGCCCGTGCGGGGACACCGTGTGCAGGGAACGCAAATGCAGGCGAAGGGCTGGTGTAATGAGACCCGAGCGGCACGGCCAACCTCTACCGCCCTCGCCAACATGCGGGACTGCTGGCTGTGCTGGCGATAGTGTGGACGCTCTGCCGTGCCCCGACGGGGAAACAGGGTGGCAAGGTGCGGGAGTCGCCCTGGCCGGTCCCAGAGATAAAAAGCCGGCCCTGCTGCCCGCAATACAGCCTTCTTTCGTTAACCGTGACTTCACCCCCCTCTTCCTCGGCTGTGGCTGGCCCCAAAGCCGGAGCCAGCGTTGCTCCGGGTGAGGGCTGTACCCGGGACCGGCGGCACAAGGTGATAACAGCCCTGGACCCAGAGACGGGACTGTCTCTGCAGAACGGGGAGGGCTCCTGCGCCCCACATCGCCCTTGCAGCAATTGTGCCGAGTGCTGCAAACTTCGCCCCGCAGCCCAGAGCTGCCCCTGCGTCCCGGTGCCACCGCAAGAATCGGGCACAGGGGAAAGGAGAGCGGGTTCAGGGGCTGCGGGAGCGGGGCCGCGGGTCTCAGCGTCTCTATAAATCGCTTTCCCTGACTCCCTGATTTTGCTCACTGGAGACTGAAATGAAAAGGGAGATTCCCGTCAGGGCACACGCCGGAGCTTCAGCCCCGCTCCGCCCTGGCTTTGCCACCGGGTTGCTTCCGAGCTTTGCCCTAACACGCTGGGCATTTTTAAAGGCAGAACCCTGGATTTTACCCAGCGGGTTGCTCTGAAGGGCTGCTACACTTACAAAAATGATATATCAGCTACATTAAAAACATGTATATTAAAAAAAAAAACAAAAAAAAACAACACAAAAATAAAATAAAAAATATAAAAATAAACCGCACACATTTTTTTTTTTTAAAGGAATAAAACCCCAAAACAACAACAGCACAACGGTGTTTCTAATTTCCAATTGTATGTCGAGTCGCTCAGGAAAGAAGTGGCATTATAGATTATAAATTATAGATTATTATTTGTACTAATAACCTATTTACTGGATTGGGGGGGGATTTTCAGCAGAAAAAGATAATATAAATCATGGCGGGCCGCTCTGTGAATTTTCTCCCTTCCGAGGAAATGCGGGAAAGATCCACGCGAGCCTTTTAGGGAATTGTTTTGGAAACCAAATTTGCCGCCGCTTTCCTCTCTTCTGCAGTGGGATACGGATTTGAGCTGCCGAGATTTGATTTCTCAACACCCGCCGGAGTTTGAGCATCCCTCTCCCCAAAATAACGCCCCGTTCCGGCCCCATCGCCCTCTCCCCGCCCGTCCTTCCCCAGCAGAAATGAGCCCGAATCGGGGACGAGCCAGGTTTTTTGCTAGAATAAAACCCGGGTTTATTTGCAAGGGTGGGGAAAAAAAAATTGTATTTATTTAGTAAACTAAAAAGTGAATTATTTGCAGGAATAAATCCCAGGTTTGTTTCAAGCCTAAAAAGCGGTTTCTTTGCAAGCACGGGACCTGCTGCTTTGGGAGGTGGGGGACACATGGATGCACCGCGGCTCCGGCTGACTCAGAGAAAAGGGGGTGATCTCCCCCCGGTGCTCCCTAAATGTGGCCGGGGTTCACTCCCCAGCGGGTCCTCCCGGGCTGCGGGGGACACCGGGGCCCGCACCGTGGCCGCGGGGCGAGATCCCGCTGCCCCCATCCCCCCGCAGCCGTGTGGGGATTTTTTGGGGTGAAGATTCCCGGGAAGTGCCCCCTACGTCCGCCCCGGGTGGTGGATCCCAACGTGGATGCTTTTCCCCCGCCCGCGGCCCTTCGCAGGCTCCTGCTCCCGCAGGCACAGGCGCGCTGTTCCCCCTTCAACGAAAACCTGGCGGGGTGACTGCAGAGCCTCCCGCGGAGGGGCAGCCAGGCCGGGAGGGGTGTCCCAGCCTCCTTCCCTGCACCCCCCGGCAGTGGGGTGCGTCCCACGGGTGCCCGGTACTGCCCGTGTGTGCGGGCACCCCCGGCTCGGGTACACACACGGGTGTGCGGGAACACTCACAAATCCCATCTACACCCCCCAGGTGGGACACCCACACCCACCCGAGTGGGTACAGGCGTGCGGGGGATGCAACACGCGTGTGCACGGGTCGGCACACGCCGAGGTCGCGGATACACCCGTGTCTGCACACGGGCACCAGACACACACCCGCAACTGCACACCACCACCCCAGCTGCACCCCTGACACCCCACAGCTCCGGGAGCCGCGGGGAGCCCCCAGCCCGGCCCGTGCTCCCCCTCTCCACCTTCCCCCCCCAGATCCATTAGCTTCCTCTATCCTTTTCCCCACTCAGCGAAGGGCGGCATTGGAGCGGGGCTGCAAGAGTCTGAGGCTGAACGGGCCGGACACCCCCTCTCGCTCCCCTACCCTGCACAAGGTGAAGTAATTTAGAAATAGATGAAAACACAGAAATACCCCCCCCCAAAAAAAAGCTCTGTCCGAGGTTTTGCTTTATTTATCCCTACGTGTCCCTGTGCCCTGCAGCCGCGGGCCGGGCTGGACGAGCCGGGTACCAGCCCGCGGGGTCGGTGGGGTGATACGGGGTGAGGGAGGGATAACGGGGGTCCCATTGCCAGCGGCGGGGGGGCTCGGGGGGCCGCAGGTGCTGATGTGGGGAGACACCAGCAATGGCTGTTTGGGTGTTGCATTAAAGCACGCTGCAGTGCGCACACAGGCGGCCCCTCCCCCCCCAATCTGCCTGTATGCTAATGACATGCAAAGAGGCTCATTTGCATGTTTATCTCTGTCAATGGGCGAGCGTGGCTGGCGAGGTAATACGTTTCCCACCGTGGCATGGAGGCCTCCCCCCCGCCCCGCTCCCCTCACCGCCCCGCCGGGCCCCGGAGAGGGCAGGGCGCAGAGCCGGCCCCACCGCTCAGCCCTGGCACCACGGCAGGCCCTGACACAAAATGGCCGCCGGGGGGGGGCCCTGCCAGCCCACCTCTGCCCCCAGAAGCCCCCGGCCCACCAGAACCGGATTTTGTGCTTAAGCAGCCAATCGGGGGCTCGGCACCCTTCCCCCCGTCCCTCCTTTTGCACTCTCCATCCTTCTTTCTCCCTCCATCCTTCCTTCTCCAACCCATGCCTCATTCTTCCCCTCCGTCCTTCTTTATCTCCATCTCTCCTCCCTTCTCATCCTTCCTTCTCCCCCTCCATGGCTCCTTTTCTACCTTTCACCCCTTCTTTTCCACCCTTCATCCCTCCTTTCCACCCCCATCCCTCCTTTTCCATCTCGCGTCCCTCTTTCTCCTCCTCCATCCTTCTTTCTCTCCTTCCATCCCTTCTTCTCCCCCTCCATCCCTCTTTTTCCACCCTGCATCCCTCCTTTTCCTCCTCCTCCTCCACCCTTCCTTTCTCACCTCTATCCCCCTTCATCCCACCTCTATCCCTCCTTTTCCACCCTCCATTCTTCCTTCTCCCCTCTATTCCTCCATCTCCTCCTCCAAATCTCCTTCTCCCCGCTCCATCCCGCCTTCCCCACGCCCAGAGCCAAGTCCTCGCTGTTTCCACCCACAGGGCAGTTCCGATTCACCACCGCCCCAGGGATAACCCCCTTTTCCCTCCCTCTGAGGGGGTCCGACACCGTCCCGATGCTGAGACCCCGCAACTCTTGACTGCCATGGGCTTAAAATCAGCCACTAAAACCCGCTCAGCCTCCTCCCCCCCAACCCACCCCCCCGCCCGCTGGTGGCAGGGATGTTTTGGGGCGCTGGGGAGGGGTCCCCAATGTCTGAGCACCCTCTGCAGGGGCTCTGCACATCGGATCCCCCCATCCACGGGGCGCGGGGTCCAGTGGCTGCAGCGCAATACAGCATTCTACACACCCCATGCTATATCCATACATATAACAGGTATATTCTATGTTACGCTGTGATTTATGAGGCGGTATTATACCACACGTTGCTGCATGACGCGGCGCCGTGTGCCAGCACAGGACCCGAGGCACGGTCCCCCCCAAGGCACGGTGTTCCCGGCCCGCAGCACCCCCCAGCCGGACCGCCCCGCCCCGAGGCGCCCGTGAAGGGCGCCCGCCTCGCCGCGCTGAGCACGGGGACTGGTTTCGGGGGAGCCCCTCCTGCCTTCCCACACACTTCCCACCCCTTCCCCGTCCCCTCTCAGCCTCTTATCCCCCCCCCTTTATTTCCCCTTCTCCCAAATCTCTTCCCCTTCCCTAATGAAAGTGTTTCCGCTCCCTTCATCCCGTATCTCTACCTGCACCGCGGGAGGGAGGAAGGGGGAAGGTTTATTTCTTCCTCCTTCACCCGAAATTGTCTTAGAGAAAACCAAAACCAATCGAAAACCTAAATCTGGAGCCTGTGCCAGAGGCCTCTGAGCAGACGCCCCCCCCCCCCCCCCCCCCCCGCCTAGACCAGTTTGTCACAGCACTGCCCAGCCGCCGGCACTGAGAAGGGATTTATCTGCGTTACTGGTCAGCTCATCCCCCGGGCCCGGCATGGCCTTCCCATCGCCAGGTATCACCCCTATGGAAATGGAGGTGTGCCCCCAAAGGGATGCTCCCGGTGTCCCTGCTCCGTCCCGGAGGGCAGCGGCGCGGGGGATGCCGGTGCCCGGAGCCCCGGTTCCCCACAGCCCCTCGGCCCGCTCCCGGGTGGGTGTTCCCCTCCCGAGGGGGGCGGAGAGAGGCCGGCCGGGGAATGGGCAGGTTTGGGAAGTCCCCCTCCTCCCCTGGTTTTCCTGCTGTCCCATCCGGGACGTGTGTCCCCAGCACCCCGGCACGGGGGGTGTCTGCACCCCCAGGGGTGTCCGCATCAGTGTGCCCGGGGCAGGGCTGGTTCTGCGGGAGGATGCGGGAACCCCATCGCATCACCCCCAAAACCTGCCGTGCTATCGCGCCCCTCAGCCACAAAAAGCAAATGGGGGGGGTGTATTCCCTTACCTGAGCGCTGGCCCGGGGTAGCCCCCGCAGGGTTGGGGGGGGGGGTGCTGGATCCAGCTCATTTTGCTCCCGCCGTGTCCCGCAGCAGAAAGTTCCTGCGGCCGGTGCGGGGCCGGGGCCGGTGAGGGGCAGCCGGGCTGCGCAGGGGGGACCCCGCGGCCGGGAGGAGCCGCACACCCCCGGGCCGTGTTTATATGTAGAAAGAAGGGTACTTTGAGTGCTTATACCAAGAACCGGGGTTGTTAAGTTTGCAGGCAGGCAGCTAAACGGTGCCAAGTGCGGGCAGGGAGGAGGGGGGGTGGGAGAGGCTGGGGGTGTGTAAGAAATAAAGAGCAATTGTCAGAGGCGAACAAAAGGCGGAGGATGGAAAAGAGCTGGGAATCCCGGGCAGAGCCCTCGGCGTGGACTTGAACTTGGGCTTTGACACCGTCTGCCAGGCGGAGAGCGGCCCTGGGCCGGGGAAGCGACAGCAATCTCAGTGGCAGAGAGAGGGGACATTCCCCCCCCCAAACATCCACCTTTTCGGGGGGGGGCACTTTGCTTCGGGATGAGAGCGATCCGGGGAATAACCCAGACGGGCTGAGACCCGACGGGCTCAGCTCACCTCCCGATGCGGAGAGGGGGGCAGCGGGGGGACCCCGCCGGGGCTGGCCGGGGCCAGACGGTCGGGGGGGCTGCCCGGTTCTCACAGTCTGCGCCCGAGCCTGGATTCTCTGCACGTCCCGGCCGGTCCCCCCTTTGCTACTATTCAGCACTTAATTGAACATTAATGGCAGCTGGGGATGAGGTCATTGGAGCCGGCTTTTCTCACACATTTTTCATGCAAATCCGCTAAACTCTAAACAAATTTGAATAAAACCCCCTTTGTGCGGGCCCTCCATGGTGTTTTTCCACGGGCCGCTCCGCCTGTCTCCGCACACTTCATCCGGGGAGGGGGGGGGGCGGCTGGGAGATGGACGGGGTGCGGGGGGGGGGGGGTGTCCCTGCCTGGTCCTGGAGCACGGGGCAGAACCGTGAGTAGCACCCAGAGAGCTCCCAAACCCAGAGCCCCCCGCCCAAGGATGCACATTACCCCACACTGTGCCGTCATCTCCCTTTGCACCCCCTGTAGTACCAGTTTCCCCAGTAATATCCATTCTTTCCCCCTGTACCACTTCGATAGCACCAATCCCATCCCACTAGCGTCAGTCCTGCAGAATAACTCCCCGAAGAATACGAGCCCATGGAGCAGCATCAGACCCAAATCCCTCCCAGTCCCACCAGTGCCTCCAGCATCCCTTGCTGCACTGGGCAATCACACCCCATTGCCTCTCCATGAGGTGGTTTTGGGCCGTAGAGGATAACGGCACGCAGAGCCCCCAGCCCCTCTCCTCCGCAGCCCCCATTAGCATCCCTGCAGTCTCGGCCCCCTGCCCAGCCTTGAACTTGGCCATGGCGGGCTGCGCTCCTTCTGCCTGCCTGGGCTCGCACAATGCCGGCCTTGACCCATTGTTTGCTTTTTTTTTTTGGGATTTCAGCTGGGAAAGCGGCCACCTCGCGCAGCCTGCCCCGAGCACGCCGGGAGCCAGGCACAATGGGGAGGGAACCTGCTCTGCAGGCAGAAGGGCTCCAAATCATCTGAGAGACATATTCATTATATTCTTTCACGGGGGTCTGTTTGCATTGGGTTTAGCAGTTACTTCCCAGACGGGGTTCAGACCAAATAAAGATCATTTAGAGGAAAGGGATTCGCTCAGGCTTCCAGGGAAATGTGCCTGATGCAGGGCATGGTGCAGCCCGGCCGCCTGGATCCCGGCTGCTCCCACTTCCCTCTTGGTTTGCCTTGGGATCGTTTTGTGCCCGTTGCCTCCTCCACCCCGAAACTGCACCAAATCACACGGCTCACTTTTGCAACAGGGAGAGTTTATTTTCAACAGGGCATGGGGTGGGGATTTAAATGGGAAAGGATTACAGCCAGTATGGTTCTCTTACAGGAACAGAGAGGGTGCAATAGAACAGCAGCAGGGCTGCCTGGCCTGCACAGACTCACAGTCCTCTGGGTCCTGAGCACAGCACCATCGGATGTGCTCCTGCAGCTCTGCACAGCCAGGAATGAAGAGCAGCAAGGGCCAAGCTATGCTCCATGAGCAAAGCCCGGTGCTAAAAGCTCACTCCAACCTTCAGTCACACAGTACTCTCCCAGGTGAGACAGTGGCTGGCCCAGGGCTCAATGCCTAAGCACTTTGAACCCACTGTGGGTTATTTAGAGCACTGAAGAGAACATACAGGAGCAATGTGTGTTGATTCTCTGGCTCTCTGTGTTGCCCTTGGCTGCCCTCCTACAGCTGGACCGGCGTAGTTCGAGGTGATGAAGAAACCCTCTGTATTCGTAAGCCAAAGCTGCCTCCTTGATGGGGCCATTGGAGAAGCAGATTGGGATTCTCCTGGAGAAACCTGGATACATCAGGCAGCAAGTCTGGGCAGGAGGTAGCCAACTGCAAGAAGGAGCTCACAGGCTTGAAAAGTCCACTCACTGGGATCTAGGAAGGAAAGGAAAAAATACGGAATGGTTATAATCTCTGCCAGGGAAACAGTCCGGCAGTGCTCAACTGAGAGCAGACCAACTCATCTCACCGATGGGGTGAAATTCCAACCCTCTTTCCCTCCTCGCAACACATTTCCCATGGCTCTAGGTCACTTTATCCCCTTCCCAACTGAGAAAACACTGGTCTCCAGTACCCCGTGCCTGCCTCAATCCCCACCTCTGCCTGCCCCGCACACCGCCAGCCAGGGGAGGGCTTGCTGCTTGTCCTTCCTCCCTAGGCTTTGGGGCATGGGATTACTCTGCATGTCAGAGCTACTAAAGGCACAGCCCTCTGATGTTTTAATCTTCGTGTTAACTTTCCCTGCCCTCAGCGCCCTTGCCTGGCTGGAGAAAGTGATACCGAGCCATCGGGCTGGAGCCGAAGCTGTGACACTCAGCAGAAGTCCCCTTCTTGGCTTCCTTGGGTTTGCCCCATGCATCTCGCACCTTGCAGCAAGTTCTTCTCCCTTTTTGCTGACTCTTTTCTCTATTCCCTTTGCACTTTACCCACGGTGAGCACGGATCCCTTAGCACAGCCCACAAACCCAATCCCATCCCTTTGCTTTGCCTATAAACTGTTACGCTGGAAGGCGTAAAGACTAATGTAACTAATTCTTGAATCCACTTGGATCTGGCATGCAAAAGGAACCATCAGCTGGCTAATTTATTCTTTTTATTGCACCAAATTGTAATTTTATAAAATATTGCAAATTTGATAAAATATTTGCAAGCCCATTTTAAGAGATAAATCTTGTGTGTGGCTCCTCTAATGAGCCGCCCTGGGAGCAGCCCGCATGTGATGTGCTGGAGGTCGCACCACGACGTTCCCGGCCTGCGACTGCAATGAACCACCGTAACTCTTTGAACTGTGCAAATACTCTGCACTCTGGGGTCCAAGCTGCAATTTTCATGGGTATTTTTTCTCTCTCTTAAAAATAGATCTTCTGTAACCCCTTTATTGCAATATTCATAAAGCACTTGATGGAAATCCAAGGAAAATCCCTTCCCTTTCGCAACTTTGAAGCGAACCTTAAACTGAAGAGAGAAAGAAGCCAAATCCACCCCACGTGCATGGGTTTGAGGAAGGAACAGATCCTGTCTTTGGAGAATTAGGGTGCTGAGAGGATAGGGGGGTGACCTAGGCTGCACGAGCCAAGGCTCAGCACTGCTTTATCCTACATGACATCAGGAATCCCTCCCAGTGCTGGCAGGGAAGTTGAGGTCAGGGCAGATGAGATCTGAATGGAGGTGGATGCTTTCGCAAGCACAGGAGAGGAGGAGGAGGCTGAATCCTTGTGTTTGTCACGGAAAACCCTTGCAGGGTCAAGCCCCCTGCCCTCCGCCAGGGCAGGCTGAGCTTGTTGCCATCTACAAACTCATCTATGGTGCACACAGAGAGGATGCTCGTGGGTACAAGACAATGACCTGCCCTGGAAGCTACGCCCTGTCTGCCTGGTGGGTTTAGACATACTTGTCTTTAGGGGGAGGAAAGGCTGGACTGACTCAACTGATTTCACCCCAGCTTCAGGAAAGCCCAAATCTCCTGCAGGCACTTTCTCCGTGGGCAGAACTCAGCCTAACACAGGGCTCCACCAGGACCCGATGCCAGCCCAACACTGCCTTCCCTTCTGGTGCCCTGTGCAGGGATAACATCCCACAGAGTAGGATACTTGGATGAGATGAGAGGAATATGGATTCATTATCCCTCTCTTTTTAAGAGATGCACAACTAATTGCAATTACAGCAAAGCCTCTGCCCCAGCACTTGCTCCTCTGCCTCCCCATGCCCTTCCAAAGCCCGCCCTGAGGTTTACACACTCACAAACTGCCCCGCCACGGCAATGCAGGGCAGTGGGAAGGGCAAAAAAGCCCCTCAAATAATGGCAAATGGATGCAGGACGCGCTGCCTAATCAGATTCCTATCCCCTATTGAGGCCAGGAAGGAGGGACCCCGCTCCTCCCCTGCCCTCAGCCCTAGCCTCCGCTTCACCGGCTCACACAGAGAAACTTTCTGGACAATTTAATCTCGCCGGGGTGTTACTTAGAAAAACCTTTTTCACTGTCAATTTTTTTCCTCCCCCCGCTCCCTTCCCCCTCCTCCCCCTTTTTTCCCCCCTTCTTCTCCTTCCCTCCCAGCCCTGATTGAATTTCGCAAGGCCCTGATATCTTTCTTTTTTGTAGGGATGCACGCTGCTTATGCAAATACCAGCCTTTCATAGCGCCTCCCCGGCTCAAGCCCTCCAACTTGAATGTGACCAAAAGCTGTGCTCTCCCCTGCTAACTCCTTAGCACAATTACACCTCCATTCTGCTCCAGGGGCCCAGGGAGGGGGGGAAGAAAAATCATTTTAAACTAATAACACGTGCTGTTTGCTTTGGATAATTACAAGGGAGCTTCGGCTTCTGAGAGCTATGAAATACGCTGTTCAGTGGGGCGGGAGGGAGGCTCCATGTTATGCCTACGCTGCGAGTTGTATCTCCTGGAGGAGATGCTCTTGAGGCTCCCTCCATCTCATGCTCCTCCTGTGCACCTGGGCAAGCATTTACATTTCCTCCCAAGGAACTTCTCAGTGCTTTGGGCTGTGGGAGAGTGGAGAAGGCGGCTGACATTTTCCTTATCTCAAGTCACAATTTCCTGCAAGCATCAAGATAATAAAACATTTGCAGAGGGGAAGATGAGTGAAATGGATGTGTCGGGTGGCTCTGCTGTGGCAGAGCGGGGAGGACCAGGGAGAAAGGACACCCGCGGGATGTGGCTGCTCCTCCGGCTCTTGTTTGCATCGTGGCCCTGCTGTTATTGTCCTCCCGCCTTGTCTGCGGGGGAAGTTTATGTAGAGGGCTTGTGGTGGGGTGAGGAGGAGGAGGGGAGTTTTCCCCAAAAGCACCCAGGAATCTGTCAAAAGAGGGACAGAAAAGAGAAGAAGAAGAAGAAGGGAGACAGAGAGTGGGAACGTCAAGGACCCCTGACTAATGAATAGCAAGTTTGCCCTTGAACCTCCCTGGGCTTTGCCATTCCCAGGCTCCAAACAAGGGCTGATGCATGCTTGGGCCCAGCTGCAGGGGGACCGGGCTATGGTTCATCTCAGACACTTTGACAGCCCGGGCCTTTTCCCCGCATAGCTCAGACTCGCCTAACTACTCCCCTGGCAACAGCTCAGTGCAGGAACCTGTGCTGAGGCCCTGCCTGCTGCATACAGAAGTACGAGGAGGAGGGGAGCCGCTGGGAGAAATTAGCTGGAGACTGGCTTAACCCATCAAATGCTGGGCAGGCGCTGCCAGCCCTGGCACCTTTTGGTCTATCCCTGGCTCAGCACTCGCTGGGAAGTGTCCACGGAGGAGCAGGAGAGGGGCAGTGGTGGGTTAGGCCTGCTGAGTCGCTGTGTATGGCAAATCTCATGACCTGCTGCTTCGCCAAGACCCACTGCCTTGGCCAAGGTGGGGCTGAAGGTGCCAGGGATGTAGGAGGGAGCTGAAATAGATGGATGGAAAAGACCACTGGACATTGAGCAGTAAGGGCATGGTGCAGCAGGGACAGGGCATCCCTCTCTGCCAGCCAAACCGAGGGCTCAAGCTGGACAAGAGAGGCACAAACTTGCCCTGGCCGCTCTTTCTGCATTGCAGATCAAAGGCAGGGGACAAGCTGGCCTTAGGGGTCTCCGCTGAATGGCTGGAGAGAACAGGCACGAGCACCCGGCAGCTCTAAAGAGCAACCCAGAAACGTTCCCACATCCCAGCCCCATATAAATCAAGGGGGAGAAAAGAGGAGGGGGGGGGGGGGAGGGGGGAGCTCTGTCCCGGCCTCTGTTTTTACAGAGCATCTTTCATGTGCAGCCCCTCAGAGAGACGGCTTTGCCGAGCTTGTTAAGGCCAGCTCCTGCGCCAGGCAGAGAGGGGGACGCACCATATGGAGAGGAGAAAAAGAAAAGGGGACACTGAAAATGGAAAATTATGCAAAGCAGGAGGAGAGGCGCTGGGGGAAAGGGGGGAGGGAGGAAGCGAGGAGATGGGGGATGGGGAGAGAGGAGGCTGGGAAGCAAACCTGGATTTGGGGGACACCGTCGAGCTTGCACCAGGGCAGCAGGAGCCACAGAAGTTTCCTGTGAGCAGGCACAGGACAACCCTTGGCACCCTTGGGTGCTGTCACCAGAGGGCAGCTCTCCAGCCTGGCCTTCCCTGAGGGGGTTTGGATGTGCCAGGGCAACGCCTGGCTGGATGCACCCTGCATCCGGAGCTGTGCCATGCTGGAGATGCAGCCAAACGGGGCCTGCGGTGACCTACTTCAGAGGTGTCTTCAGGACCTCAGTTACTATGGCAATAAGGTTGCAAGCAAACATTATGGGGTTTTTTTGGTCAAGGGTTTTGCTTTTAATCAACCACAAAAAACACACTCATGTACAGAGGTTCTGGGGGCCTTGTAAGAAATGGCCCTGAACAACAGTAGCAAGAGCAAGGGCCTGAATCGCCCCTGGGTCTCACTGCCTGTGCAGGGATGGTGGGCACTCAGCTGAGTTAAGGAGAATGTGAACACAGCTGGCAGAGTCCTTCCCTTCCCCTTGGTGCCTGCAGGGTCCCAGTGCCATAGGGGGCTGCAGCCCCAGTGTGGCTCAAGGGTGCTCTGCAGGCACAGGAGGGAGAATGAACTTCCCTAGTCCTTGCACATGTTAGTGTCCAGCTTGCGCTCACACTCCAGCACCTGGCCTAATGTGATGTTTGGAGCAATGACTCGGTTCTTCCCAACACAACTGTGGAGCTCATTCTCTCTCCTGGAAACCTTGGTCACACCTCAGCTTCCGGTCTCAGCTCACCCTGGCACGGTGACAGCTCCTCCAGCACATAGCCACCCTGTGCCTCTGACTTGCAGGATGCTGTTGGCTCCCGGTCCATGGGCCAGGACTACCTTGCACATCCTCACTGAGTGCAAACTCGCTTCTCCAGCCCACCTTTCACCCTAGCATGGA